AATATCGCTTAAGTGCTGCAACGAATTTTTTAAATAAAGCTAAACCTTATTTTTATTTACCATCTCTGAAATGTTGAAATACTTAAGGCTCTAATTCATTAAATATTTTATAAAGAGAATTTTTCGAACAGTAGTGAACTACAACAACAAAAATTTTATTTTTTATATTATTTTAATTAATTAAATTTTTGTCTGACCATACAGCTGTTTCGAGTATTGCCGAATACCCATCATCAGTGGTTAAATATTTCATAAATACCAAATATTGAGTTTCTTTGAATTATTTATTATAATGAATAAAATACAACAATTTTAAAATAAAGTTATAGTTAAATTTTTATCTATTAAAATCATATTTAATAGATTAAAATTATTTTTATTGGATCTCTCAAATTAATTAAAAAATAAAAGAAATTTGCCATTAGCAATTAACATAAAATTTATTAATAATTAAGAATATATTTACATTTGTTTTTAAATAAAATCATCATATATTCATAACAAATAAATTTTGAGTGAATTTCAATCAAACAAAGCAAATTAAAGTCAAAATCCTATCAACAATTGTGTATAAACAAATCCGAATGGAAAGCCTAATTGGTATGTTGCCAGCTTAGCGAATTCATAAATTTTTATGTTATTCTCTGGCACTTCAGCATATTTAGCAGCGTTTTTTTATTACTTTTTCTTGCAAAAATAGTGAAAATAAAAATAAATGAATTGAAAGCAAATTGAAATGAAAATTGAAATATTTTAAGAGTTGCCAAAAAGACAAGCAATTTTCAAAATCGACTAAATTATGACAAATGTGAAGCTTTTATATTTTGAGCAAAACAATCAATTTGGTGAAAATTTATTTATATTCCATTTTATTGGTCTTGATGAAATTGTACTTGATTTCGGGCACAATTAAAACATTTCTAATACAATTTGACATTTCAAAACTAGACAGAGAAATATTTAATAATCTATGCGTTTCAACACGCCCACGCCCTGAGAAATTCACATAAAAAATAGAAAATAAATTTATGAATATTAAGTAACACAAAAAACAAATTTTCACACACTTTTTCTTAAGCCCGGCAAGATGACGTTGACAATTTTAAAATATTTTTTATTTATTTTTATTTATTTAGATTTATTTTTTTTTAAAAGAAAAATTGACGAATTGTACAAATGTGAAGGAAATTAAGTAATGAAGAACTCAGAGTGATAGGCCACTGAATACCGAAGCGTTGTTAGTTTTAGTGACTTCAAAAACAAACAAAAAAATAAAAAAAATAACACATTTAATAGATATATAATAGATAATATTTAATAATATTTAAAAAAAAATTTTTATTAAATTATTTTGTGTCAATTAATTTTTATTATATTTTGTTTAATTAAAACAATCTTAAGAATCACTGGAATGATACTTTTAAATCCATATCAGCAACTTCCTGATTAAATAGATCGATAGTGGAATTGGAAAAAAGATCGAAATCTCCTCAACTAAGAATACCGTTACGGTTCTATATTTCTCATAATTATAGGTAGAAAGATGGGTATTTTAGAATCTCTTAGCTAGACGCATTGTTAAATACAAGTATCTGAGCAATACTTATGTTGAAAATATTGTCGAGAGTGTAATAGAATGGGGCACCAAAAAAAAAGTTAGCTTAGTTCTAGAAAAACCTGGACATATGCGCAACAAAAGTTCCAGTGTGTCATCTTCGAGCGCCAGTATATATGTACTATAGAAAATTCGGCACTACAGGCCGAGCTTGGCAGAATGTCGTCCTGTAATACAGTTCTCCGTAGACACAGAAATTATTTTCGATATTTCCAATTTACTTTTAATGAACTAAATCAGAGATTTTAAATTTGTTACTAATGAACTAGCTACTAAAGATTATTATTCAGACCAATTATTATTTGTCTGTCGCTAAAAATAGTCAAAAGCCAAAGTTTGTCTATATGGTGCAGTTCCGTTGGAGAGACGTCAGTCCGCGATTAACTAAGTGCTATCAAAATCTCCAAACAGTTTTATTTCAAATTATAGGACTATAATATTAATTTCTTTCTAATTTATGTACAAATATATATATAATGTAAATATTACAAAAAGATATATATATATTATTGTTGATAGTAATACAGACATTGGTGATCTTAGTCACATCGTAGGGTTTAAATGAAATATTTAAGAAGATTCATGTATAATATACATTTATAATATATTACTTATACAGTAATATATAACATGTGGTAATACCCATGTATTGATGTTTGTTTAAGTCGATCTGGTGAGCAGCTATTTTGCAGACTCTACTGAAGAGCCCATTTTACGATCTCCATACCTCATAGGATGTGCTCTATCCACTTAACTTTGTGTTTTCAATATTTGTTTTTCTAAAAACGCTGTTCGTCGAGTCCAATAAATTGTCATTTGAGATTACGGGCAACCGAACGACATAACAAAGATTTGTTATTTATGACTTTCACGTCTTAGAACTGGAAATAAGAATTGGTTTGGCATTGATATTAAAAGTTTAGAGTCCTGAAGATATGTTTAACGTGCACCAAACTTTTCAAAACCGGTAAGGAACACTTACTGCTTATTTGTAATGTGCAGTAAGACAGCTTATCAATGCTTTGTATCTATCTAATATCTTTATATTTCAGTGAAACACTTACTCCTCCGTCTTCGAACAAAACACCAAAACAAACTAAATATTATCATAATAAATCTTCAAGCTAATAGAGAAAATAACTTCGAAATATATCCCATATCATCATACTTTAAAAGCTTGTTAAATTTTTATACTTTAGTATATAAAAGAATTAATATCTCTTGTTAACAAATCTGCAAAAATCCAATTTACCTACTTAAATTTTCTATTTAAAATGCACAAAATAAAAATAAAATAAAAAAATATTTATAAAGAAAACAAAAGCAATAAAATCTGCATTAAACTTCATTTCCCGAATTTCCATTGCAATATACTATATATGTTATTTAACATCAATCAGTCATAAACGTTGTTGGCACATACATTTTCCAACATTTCCAATATGAAATAGTTTCATACAGTGACGTCAAATGTGACATAATAACCTCAAAACACTACACAACATTTGTTGCCATCATTCCAAAGCAACAATTCTAGTTTTAGTGCGCAGGTCTCCAATAAAGACAATAAAAGTAAACATAAAAATAAGGTTAGCAAACAGAAGTTGATGACAGCTGTTATGTTTATAAACATTTGTAAATGAAACTATGTTGAAAATAAGAGAAAAATGTTGCAGAAACATAAATATGTTTGTTTATTATTGTTTAGACAATTTTGAAAGCTGATGATATTAAGTATATGTATAAGCGGCTGGTTATAACAACAAAAGAAATAAATCGAAGTAATATGATGATGTGATTATGACTTATAATTACAATGGAACCTTAATGAATCTTAACTAACTAAATGCCCTTTACATTTTATATTAATATTTAAAAGAATATTAATATTTTAATTTAATATTTAAATTTGAAAAGTAAAAACAACATATATGTAATATGTTATCTCTGCTATTGAATATTTTATCATTAATTGTGTTAATATTGTGTTAACCGCACATTTTCTGCGAATGATTTAAGTGTTCTAGAGAACAAAAATTATTGTTTATTATTTGTTATATTGACTGTTGCTTACAGCGTACATTTATAGCAGAAAATGTTAACAACATTAGCAGCACACTTTAAGCATTTCATATTAATTTACAGTTGTTTAGTTCAACCTATGGAAAAATGTTAGTACTATCTTAAAAATCATAATTATATTTTAATCTTATCTCCTTCGATTTGGCTAAAATTATTTAAATGAGCTTTTTTGTTAATAAATATACTTATGGAAAAAATGAAAACTACGAGTATATGTTTAAAAAAAATTTAATAAAACTTAATTTAATTAAATTTAATTTATAGTAACTAAATATCAACAAATTTAATTATATTGTTAAATAAAAGATCAGTACATAATCTGTACCTAGAATATAATAAATTCAATAAAATTTCGATCTCTATCAATAACAGAGCCCAAGATATAACCATTTAAAATTTGGTTTAGAATGCAAATTCTCAAAACCTGTTATTTTTAATATTTTTTATTATTTTTTTTTTTTAAATTTCTTACAAACCTGTTAATATACAAACGTAATATTCTTTTAACTTACCTGTAAAGAAAGAAAAAAATAATTTATTTAAAATTTTCATAGGAAATAACTCTTGTTGCATACATATAACTTAATATATAGGCACTACTTAAGAACAAATTCGTAATTGTTTAATATATCTTCAATAAACATATTATGATTTATACTATAGATTATGAATCCGGACTGAAGGCAGAAATTAACTTTGAGAGGGCTTTCAGATCATTTTAATTAAAAAAATAAAAACCTTATCAAACTGATATGATAGAAGTCTAATAATAATATATATTTATATCAAATTTATAATAATATATTATAAAATAATATTATAATTCAAATCATAATGAAGATAGCAATAAAAAAAATACATATATATAAATATATATATATAATATATAATAATATTTATATTATATAAATTTTTTCTTTTGATCTGTTTTGGGTGCTCAATCACTCATTGGTTCCAAGAACGACCGGGTCTAGGTCCCGGAGCCACTCGTCGCAAACGACCAAGTTCCCTTTAACATCCCCCAAAAGTGTCGCACAAGATGATACTAGAGGCCTACAACAACAAAACTAACATTACGAACCTATTAGTTTGAGAATTAGAATAGTAGGCAATTGACTGATATTTCAAATTAAAATTTTAAAAAAAACATCGGTGTATAATAAAATCATTTACGATAAATTCAAAATTATGTGTTAATTTTTTTTATCAACCTGTTTTTGAAGCCTGCTTAACTGATTTAATTAAAGTATATATTTTAACATATTATTAATAATATAATTAATAAAAATACTTTTTTTATATATGGCGGTACTGAGAACTATTTTAAATGATTAACAGAAGGAAGAAAACTATTAGAACCAAGCCACAAGACTTCTGCCTGATGCTAAACGAATTTAGCCAATGCCTCAAACTGAAGTACTGGACATTGATGGAGAACAAATTATGCATGAAATTATACACATGCCATCTGATGGAAGCTGTTTATTTCACTGCATTGCATACTGCCTACTAGGCCGTATCGATACTGTTGCCAGTATGCGAGTACGATCAGATGTGGTCAATGTGGTTTGTGCAAATTGGCCGGAATATCAGCATTGGACTTGTAATGAGACTGGTGAAAATTATAGCTCAATAGAGGATTATCGTAATGATATGGCACAAACAAATACTTATGGTGCCGCATCAGAATTGAAAGCCGCCGCTTTGTTATATAGATTACAGTTTGAAATTTTTACCAGAGGTAAACGTATCATCACTTTTGGACAGCCAATGTATCCTATAAAACGTATACGATATTTTGGACATGCTGCTACTGGACATTATGATGTATACAGGGAGATAACTGATGACAGTGATGACAGTACCGTCATAGATTCTACACAAATAAAACTGTCCAAAATAAATAAACATTAAAATATTGTAGAATAGGAATAATTTCAAATATTTTTGAAAGGTATATGTTGTTTTTTTTTAATTAACCTTTGTATTTAGTTATAATGAAGTAATAATGTGTATATTGTGTTGTGTAAAATAATCAAATATTTTTTTCTAAGAACTTTCAAAATATGTAAACTTTAATTATGATCCAAAAGCAATATGATGAAGCAAATTTAGGTAAAGTATTACATTTTAAATACTATCATTCTTTATTAATATATAAGAATAAATTACTATTAAACCAATGTTACTATTAAAGAGTACATTTTTTGTGTATATTGAGCAAATAAATATCTGGTAGTTGCTTAAAATTGACTGCCTTATCGTACTCAGCTGTGTTAAAAAAGTAGCCTTTAAACGATTAGATTCGGTTTCATATTAACAGTAAGAAAATCTTCCGTAGAACGAAAAAAAATTGTCCACTAATATAACATTATTTCGATTGCTATAATCGCAATTTCAATACCTATACTATAATCTGTCTAAAATTTGTGCTTAAGTTATATTAAATTTTGGTCAACAATGATCCAAACTTACTTTAAACCAAATAACTGATATTATTGCAATTTTTTAGTGAGTGAAAGCCTTTTCTTTGTTCAATTTTAAACATTTTAACTTCTTTTTAAATATATGTTTTTTAAAAAATAATTTTCATTCCAACTCTGATATAATCAACTTTGTATCTACAACTCTTGTAGTTTGTCGCAACTACAAACTTGAACTCCTACTTGACACATTGAAAAGGGAAATTTTTTCTTTTGCAGTTTATTGCACAAAAAGTTCAATTATTTAATTTTTTTTTACATTTCAACTAATTTTCTTTTTATTATTATTCGCTATTTTTAGATTTGGAACTTGAACCTAAAACGCCTCGAGGTCAGAGAACAAGCCATGCAAACAATAAGAACTGCAATCGAAATTCTTTATATTTGTCAACGTGCCTGCAGAACCAACGACCTAATGACCTCTTTTACTGCCAGCACATAGAGTGGAGAAACCAACGAACACAAAGTGAAAGTATCTTTTTTTGTATGCAACACAAAATTTAACGCAGTTGAACATGCAACATACGTTTTTGGTGTGGTAATGACGTCAATGAATTAACTTCGGTACCGCACTCTTATATCCTGTAATATTTTGTAACAACAATTTAAAACAGAACTAATGTCGTCAAATTGAATTTTTGTTACATTTGCACTAGATTACCAATTATATAAAAAACAATAAATGCAAAAATAAATCAGTTTTAATTACCTTAATAAAAAAATAATTCTTTTATAATTTTACTGAATCCTTATTGAAAGAAATAGTGTATGGAAAATATAGGTTTTACTTTAGTAAACGTTAGGGACTAATATTATCCTTAATGACATTGTAATGAGAATAGATATCATTGTTTTAATAAAATAAATCCACTGCATATTAATAGCAAAAGCACAAATATCAAATGAATTAGAGACTTAAGAAGTGCAATATATTAAAACAACAAAACCTGAAGAGAATTATCTAATGAAAGGATTTGCAAGTTAGAAGAGAAATGAGATCAGTTGAACATTTCCTATCCAAATGACCAGCTCTACCAGATTGGGATTGAGATAAGTCACCGTAAAGATCTACGAATAAATAAGCCGAGTATCTGGTGTCTTGTAAGTCTAGGAAATATCTCAAATTTAGATCTTTCCAAAATCTTAGAACTGTTTTCATACAAATCACTTAATATTTGTTATCTCGGTTTAAAGTTATAAAGAGCTTATAAATAAATAAAATTGTATCATATATAGACATCTTCAAACCTTATATCATCTATAATTATCAGTCATTTTTTTTGTCAATTTGTTGTTAGCAATACGTCACCGTAAAGGTCTGCGAATAAATAAGTCGAGTATCTGGTGTCTTGAAAATCTAGTGGATATCTCAATTTTAGATCTTTCCAAAATATTAGAACTGTTTTCATAAAAATCACTTAATATTTGTTATCTCGGTTTAAAGTTGTAAAGAGCTTATAAATAGACAGAATTGTGTCATATAGATAGACATCTTGAAACCTTATATCATCAATAATTATCAGTAATTTTTATTAGCAATTTGTTCAATTTATTGCTAAAGGTTATATCAGTTATATGTCAGAAGGTATTTTAATTCATAAAAAAAATATTCAGGTCCTCAATTGTCTACTGAGCTGGACTAAAACACATCATAATATAACTACTATTCCTCTATTTAGTTCTAGATATTATTGACAATACAGATAATGAAATGCTGTAGATAACCTGAGGTAGCTTGTTTGATTATTGAAGTTACTTTGTCATTTTAAACAAATCTGAAAATAAACCCAAACATGAATGTAATGTAGTATATGTATTTCTGACATCTATGGTTAGCTTTTAAAGTTAAGAATTATGTTTTTATACCATCCATATATAAAAGCTAACAAAAGCTTAAGTAAATAAATTTTACATTTTATGGGAAAGAACTTTATTTTTGAAATCATATTTTGTATCTTACAAGTAAATGATTTTTGTTTAACAAATAGATTGTTTACACTAAAACGATATAAGCAAAAATATTTTCGTTTAATACGAAATTGCTCACACTCTTATCATTCTAACAATCAAGATCATAAGACCTGCTGAGATCGAGATATGATAAAAATTTAAAAATTTCTTACTTTAACTAGAAATGGTCACATCAAAACTGAAATTGTTGTTGTTTTCAATATAAATTAAAAAATTAGGGATGTCAGAAAAAGACAAATTTCGATTTAAATTTGATCACGGTGACCAAAAAAAAGATGACGGAGAATTTAAGCGCTTCGACCAGTTTTTAAAAAAAATTTTGCTCAGTAATAAATGTTAGAAATTATGTGTATTAGAATCAAATATATATATATTTTTTTATAAATATATAAGCATAACTACATAAAAATCAATAATAGTAGTAAAAGCATGAATGAGATAATTGTGACATGACTCTCTGTTATATATATGCCTTTTAATCATGACGGAAAAGAGCGTAAGATTGGTGCGAAAATACGTCATATGACTTTTGCTATGGTATGACCCTTAATCTATTTTTCTTTTTTTGTTTACATCGATAACTTCCAATAACATATAGGTTTATTCGAAAAACTATCATCTGTTACCGATAGTCTAGACTATATTATAATATAAAATAATATATTGCCAACACTACTAAAAAAAATACTCTAAAATGAGCTCTATCGATATTTAAATCATTAATCAGATTTAGTATTATTTGGAAATAGTAATTTTGTTTTTTTACAATATAACCGTACATTTTCAGAATACATAAACTTATAGCGGCACTTTTAGCAGTGACAATAGAAACTTTAACAGTTCACAATAACATAACATAGTCTGTTATCGTTACAGTTTCATAGAAGCTTAAAAGCTTTCAAAAATGTTAAGTTTATTCAAAAAAAATCTTATTTAATGAATTATTTTGTGTTGTGGAAGGCTTTCACTCAATTTCTCCAACTTTCTCTTTTGCTCAAGCTAAACGTAAAACTTTAAGGCGTTTCTCATTATGTTTTTTGCCATAATTTTTGCAAAAATAAATTCGTTTGGAGCTTTTATTCTCTTTAATTTTTTTTTTTAATTGTGTATGTTTGCTAGACGAGACTGAAGCACGTGAGTCGTGTAGCAGCAAACAATCCATAGGGCACATCGCATATCGCGCATCGTATAGGGAAGCATCCTAGGCCAACAAAATAACACTTAACTTTGGCATTTTAACGAAAATTGCACTTCTTTCTCCACAAAGACAAAAGAAACAAAAAAACGAATTAATTATGCAAACAAAGAGGAACGAAAAAAAAAACAATACAAGTAAAAATAAAGCGATTATGAACGCACCAAAGCAAAGTAATAATTTTTAACCAATGTATTAACCATTCCATGGAGGCACAGCTAATACCTTTGCTTACTTCATTTCATTTGGTTTACTTTATGCTCATATCTTTTTTATAAATTTTTACAATATTATAAATTTATTTAGCATTAACTTTATATCTAATTCTTACGAAAAAAAAAATCAAAACATAAATTCGTAAAAATGATGATGGGAAAAAAATTCGCAACAGCATTCCTATATTAAAATTTAATGTGTTTATTTATATTTTATGTGTGCGCGTTCATTGTGAATTTAATAGTACTTTACAGAGGAAATCACAAAAATAACAGCAACAACCAACCTAACAATAGCAACAACAGCAGTTAACAGCAACAACAACAGCGGTTAACAGCAACGACTAACAGCAACAGTAGTCACGGCAGTCACAGCAGTCACAGCAGTCACAGCAGTCACAGCAGTCGCAACTCAGTGAAATTTGTTGAGATCCTATGTCATTGCGCCGCATGTGCCCTGCTGTGCTCGAGCGTTGCTGTCATAATACGAGATAAGCGCTTTTCCGGGGTTTGTTGATTTTCCCAAGTTACACATACATTTATATTGCATTAAGTACACACAAGCATATTGCACAAACACGCACACTCACAAATATATAGAAAATCATAAAAATTGTGTTTCGAGAAAATTTTTTGATTTTCTTTTATTTAAAATGTTTACAAATACTTTATCTGGATTTTTATTGCTCGGAAAAGAAGTGTGCATAAGATTTTGCAAATATTGTATATTGAAATAAAAATATTTACAAACATATAATTTTCCATATCTTTCTATATCCATATCTTAAGTTAAAGACAAGTTATAGAAATTTTAAGAGATATCAATCGGAAAAAAAAGAGTGAATAAAAGATATTTATATTCTGATGTGTGAAGATAATATCTTTAATTTGTTCAAAGTATTACATTCGAGTTTTCTTTATAATAATATTTTATGTATTTTTATATATATTTATGTAAGGTAAATTCTATTAGGTTGTTCGGAAAATGAAAGACAGTTTTTGTATAATAAACAAATACTTTATTAAATTATATATTGATCGTTCTGATCCAACGAATTTTGCCATCTTTCTGGTAGTAGCATAATTCCACGCTCATAAAATTGTTGGTCTTTGCTAGCAAAAAAGTAAATACAATTACATCCTCTGTCGGGAAAAAACGAAATTACTTTCCGAACAACCTAATGTAATTTTTTGTAAGAGTATTGTACAAATTTCTTTGAATTAATAATAAATAATAGTGATGTAAATAAGATGTCCACACAGGTATATCTTTTGTTTATGTATCACTACAAAGCAAACTCCAAAATATGCAAATAACTTTTTACTTAAAATTATCAAATATCTCCATATAATAATTTTATGTACTGGGAATAAAAACGAAATATTTTCCATTAAATTAAAACACATATTATTTCAAGATATTAGTGTGTCAACGAACTACAGACGTTCCTAAACCACAAGGACTGGACTTAACTACGCTGTTTAAGCAAACATTCGGTTAAACAGCTAACAGAACCAAAAAAGAGTGTAAAAGGACTATACCCTGTCCTAGTGTATTTAAAATCTACTTAATCTTTAACGTAGTTATTTCTAAAAATAAGTAATTTAATTTAGTTAAGACGATACTGAAGTTCTACTTAACCATTTTGGCACATAGTGCCAAAAACTGAAACCGTGCTCGGAATATATTTGTACCCAAAATTAGTTTCATCTCAACATCCAAATTACTACCAAAGAACAAATTACACTGATGTTATGAATTTCGACTTTATTAGTTCTTTAGATTCATTTAATTAGTTAAATTTATTATTTTATTAATAACAAGCAAGCTTTGAAATGTCTAAAGACTATAATGTAAATATTGTTGACAATATAATAAATATGGAGATATCTAGGGTAATATCTTTTCTAACACGGCACTCGTAATATTCCCTGCAGTACATGTCTACTGGCGCTCGAAAAAAGACTGCAGAACATTTTTGTCCAGGCTTATCTAAAACCAGGCTTAAGCCATTGGATAGACTACTCTTCAACACACTCCGAGATAATTCTAGCATTAGCGTTGGCGAGATTCTCGTATTTGTCAATGCTTTCCTCTGCCATTAAGAGGAATTGTGGAATAAAAACGGGTTTTTAGCTAATTGAGAAAGACTAGTTACACCTTGTGTATTATTTAACATTAACTAATTAGCATGCTCTAAAATATTAAAATCTTAAAACAATAAATTCCTTTAATTTGTATTTCTTGTACCTAACTTTTTTCAATATAAAAAT